TCTTTTGACTGTTATTTTATTTATTTATTTTTTGTGCGGTTATTTAAAAGTTTTGTTTAAACTTGTGTCAGGCAACCCAGGTGCCCCCTTTTTTTTTTAAAGCTTGAATCAGCAACCCTATACTTGTTGGGCTCAGCTTAGGTATGAGATTAATTCATAAATGTCCCATGAGGAAGTTAAAAGTTAAAATGCCATTCATTTTTAATTGCGCCTATTTTCCAAACGGAAACATCAAAATTTTCTTATGCTGAGTCAAACACTCATTGGGGTGGATCAAGAAAAGGTCTTTGCACTTGGAGATTGTTTTCATTTTCTCTTTAATTATGAATTTCACATTACATTTATCATGAGCAAGAAAGTGTTATAGCTGTTTCAGTGAAAAAAGTATTTGTCACAAATCTTACACTTAAAAATACTAGTAATGCATAATAAAATCTATAATTAAATGAACCCTAAAGCCATTTCCGAGGTTAGGTTTTGTTTCAGTAATTTTCTTCTAGAATTGGTCATATTCTGTTGCCTGGGAGGGAAATATTTAACGAAGGACAACAATGGCTCAGATGATCCATAACCAATTCCATTTAGATTTAAAATGAAAAAGAAGCATTTATATACAATACAATATCTTGTAAACGATCCCTCAAAAAAGGACACTCAATTTTGTGCAAAGACGGTCTCTGAACTTCATTTATGTCGTTGGGCTTTTCTAATGCCATTAGAGAGTACTGTGACAGGCTCTTGAGGAATGTGGAAAATGAAGTTCAGCAACCTCCAACATTTTTTTCAGACTGTGCCATATGCCCCAATTGTCTTTTGACTTGGGGGAGGAATGTCAGTTTTGGAATGAAGCATTCTTGAAACCTGCTGTCAGGTTTGTGGCTTTGTTGTATTCTCAGGGCAGGTTGTCAAAAACAAGGTACAAAACACATGCTAATTCTAATGCTCTAATGGCATTAAAAAAGTTAAAACTGTTATCTACGAGCCTGTTACCATGTTGGTAGAATTAGTCACTGAACGTAGGGATAATCTTAAACAGTCTTATTGCTTAATGAGTCCGAAGCAGATGACATCAACTTTGCATTCTTTTCATTCTGTAAGTGCGCCTTTTCTGTGGACATTTTGTCTTGGTAATCAAAAGCACGGCTTCCTTTGGCTTTGGCTGAGCACCTCAGCAGTGCTTTGACCATCAGGTAGGCCAGTTCAGCCACATTGAGCACAATGCAAACGGCAGAAGAACCCACCATGAAAATGGTGAAGACTGTCTTCTCTGTTGGTCGTGAGATAAAGCAGTCAACTTTATTGGGACAGGGCCACTGCTCACACTTCACCAGACTAGGCATCTGAAACCCATCGTAGACATAATACAGAGCATACATGAATCCTGCCTCGAAAAGGATCCGGAAGAACAGGCTTGAGGTGTAGGTCCACCACAGCGGCCCAATGATGGGTAGACGCCTCTTCTTCAAGCTCTCCAGGTCACCCCCTTTGACTCTGCCACCTCGGTTGGCCAAAAGTCCATTCTTTACATTGCGTTTGCTATATGCCACATGCATAGCCACCAGCAGAGCCGGTGTAGACACAAAGATGAGCTGCAGGCACCAGAAACGGATGTGTGAGACTGGAAAGAAGTGGTCGTAGCAGACATTTTTGCAGCCTGGCTGTTGTGTGTTACAGGTGAAGCCGGACTGCTCGTCCCCCCAGACCTTTTCAGCAGCTATCACAAGGATGCTAATGCGGAAGATGAAGAGGACAGACAGCCAAATCTTTCCCAAGCTGGTGGAGTGTTTATTTACCCCTCCCAGCTGGGCATAAAGTGCTGACCAACTCATCCTGTCTGCTGTTGCTCTCAGCTCCTTATCATCGAAAAGAAAGAGATGAATTTGATTTTGAGCAACTACATATGTTCAAATTCAAATTTAAATAATATGTAAAGTTCACACACTTCCATATATATATATATATATATATACAGTATATATACATATACAGAGATGGGCATAAATACATGAAACATATTTAAATTACAATTACAAAATACTGTGTGGAAAAATGTACTTAAATGCAAATGCTTTAAAAAGGCTTTAAAATGCAAAATACAAAAAAGTAATTTGTATTTCAAATACATGTATCTGAAATACTGCCCATCCCTGTGTGTGTGTGTGTGTGTATATATATATATATATATATATAAATTTGAACTCAAAAGTTGTCAAAATTTTTGACAACTTTTGAGTTTAAATCGACATTTCAGATAAAAAAAATAGACAAATAAATTCTTAAAATACACTGACAATCTAGGACAAAATATTTGAATAATTAGGATTTTTTAATGTTTTTGAAAGAAGTCTCTTAAGCTCACCAAAGTTGATAAAAAAATGCAGTACAAATAGTAATAGCATATTAGAATGATTTCTGAAGGATCATGTGACACTGAAAACTGGCGTAATGACTGCTGAAAATTCTGCTTTGCTATCGCAGGAATAAATTACATTTTAAAATATATACAATAGAAAACAAATTTTACATTGTAATAATATTTATATTATATAATATTGTTTTGTAAAGTTTGTATAATATTGCACTGATTTACTGTATTTTTGGTCAAATAAATGCAGTCTTGGTAAGCATAAGACAATAACATCCTAATAACGAGCACGCACACACACACACACACACATATATATATATATATATATAATTATAATTCTATGTCTTCAAAAAGACTCACTATATTGAATTGAAAATGTTTTCATTAACGTTAAAATCATTAATAAGTCCTTTAATTCCTATTAATTAAGAAAGACTTCATTCCGTTCCATTTTTTAAACACATTTTAGTAACTTTGGTTATATTTGTTTGAATTTAACAAGTCAAAATTATCATATAATATTATCTCTTTAAAAAATTACTGAAATGTCTGGTTGCGTTACAAAACGAAGTTTACCTGTTATCTTTCAAAATAATTTAGATCAAATCCATGATATATATCCGTCCAGGTGAGTTAAAATGAGTTCTTTCACTTGCGGAGTTTCTTTGTGGTCTTGAGATGAAGTGATTTGACTGAGGACAGTGAGCACAAGTTTAATGCTCTCTCGAGGAGAGGTGCACCTGACTTCGGGCGGAGCCACGGCATTCATTGAGTGGTTCTTGAGATAGCAAGTGACAAAACTGGAATCCTGGAATGCGTAGCACACCTCAGCTGATTACAGCAGGAGCCATCTCGTGCAGTTGCGTTGCTAGCCTGTAGATGTGGTATTATGTTCAAACGTACAACATAGCTTAACTTTCACACAGTATAGTTTCACTAGAAGTACAGTTAGAATATATTTTAAGCTTCACTTTAATGTGCTTCAAGAACATTTTCAATAGCATTTCATTACCTTTACAATATTAGTTTGTTATTTTTCAGCATTCTAATATGGTATATTAAAAAGTACAAAATTCATTAAATTAAAATGACACATATGTATATACACTTTCAAATCTATAAAACTTTAATGTACCTTATCTTGTGTACATTACAACAATAAATTCCTTGAGTACATTTAGAAAATACAGCAGCATAGACAATCTCTTGACCAAAATAATTACAATTAATAAATTAAAATAAAGATCAGTGAAATATTTTAACTGTCACAATCTTCAGTCACCAGCCCAATCACTATCCTCAGTCACCAACCCAGTCCACTTGGAACTACATTTCCCAGCATCCCTTCTGTTTAACACCTGCACACAGTCAGCAATCACCACACCTGCCACATAAAAAGCAGTCACTCTCCACTTCTCCCTTGTCTGGTCTCATCGTTCTAAGTAGTGATGCAAAGTCCGATTCATAAGCTTCACTTTAATGTGCTTCAAGAACATTTTCAATAGCATTTCATTACCTTTACAATATTAGTTTGTTATTTTTCAGCATTCTAATATGGTATATTAAAAAGTACAAAATTCATTAAATTAAAATGACACATATGTATATACACTTTCAAATCTATAAAACTTTAATGTACCTTATCTTGTGTACATTACAACAATAAATTCCTTGAGTACATTTAGAAAATACAGCAGCATAGACAATCTCTTGACCAAAATAATTACAATTAATAAATTAAAATAAAGATCAGTGAAATATTTTAACTGTCACAATCTTCAGTCACCAGCCCAATCACTATCCTCAGTCACCAACCCAGTCCACTTGGAACTACATTTCCCAGCATCCCTTCTGTTTAACACCTGCTTGAAGTCAGCAATCACCACACCTGCCACATAAAAAGCAGTCACTCTCCACTTCTCCCTTGTCTGGTCTCATCGTTCTAAGTAGTGATGCAAAGTCCGATTCATTTCCGCGAACCAGTACTTTTCGGACAGATCGGCTCATTGAACCGGTTCAAAAAGCCGATTCATCGGTTCCTGACGTCATCAAGCAATAACGTCTCTACGCATTTCTTTTCTAACAACTCAGTGCCATGTTGTATCAATGAAAAATTCTAATAAGTCATTTGTGTCAACGCATATTGAAACTACATGACTACATACATACAACATACATGCATAAATAAATAAATAAAAAGGGCCTCTAATTACAAAAAATAAAGTGGAATAAAGATTGGATTGTGGCCTTTATTAGCTTGTGATAAGATGTTGACAAAATGTGTGTTGGTGTGGTTGTTGATATAAAGTGAGACAGTGACATTTTGTTTTTAAAAATATGAATTCAAACATTACTAGTAAGACAATCTAGACTACTAAAATGGGTTGCTTTCGACTTCCCTTATTGCTGGTGGTTTTAAAATAAAGCGCCCGCCACATTTGCGCGGGAATGATTACAATTATGCGGAATACCTGCAATCCCGCGTGGACATTCAGACTGTAATCGACAGGAGGCGGATGAGTGTCAAACTCACTAGTTTCCATTCAAAGTTGTGAATTTAACTTGTGCAAAATTTATATATCGCATAAAACATTTGCGAATAAGCACCGTTTCCATCCAACGAGTCAAAGAGAACAAAATCGTCACTTCATGGTAGAACTGGTGCTAGGCTATATATCACTATGAAAAGTAGGAGAAAGGCCTACTTTCATAGGCCTATCCACCTTATATAAATACGATGATGTACTTCCTTATAATGTGTTAAACTTCCGTTTCGCTAGCCGGTAGGTAAGAAGCGTTGGAGCGATGTGGTGGGAGCACACACAGAACACTATTAAACACCGTGATGGTAAATATTTACCACACCCGCGGTGTATAACACAGTGGCAGGATGAAATGAAGAAGTGGCCTGCCATAATGAGGACATTTTTAATTATTTCGTTTTGTCGCTTGGAGTAGACGGGTCTTCGATGCGGAATTATAAAAGCACTGAGGCATATCAGTACCTGCACAGCGGGAAAGTCGGCGAGTGCTGGTACATGAAATAGAAAGCGAACTCGTGTTTTTAAAAGCAGATGTGAATCCCAGTCAAAGTGGCGCAAATGTTCATTCAGCTTGGGTCCTTACTACAGCTAACGGGACAATTGAGACGGCTGGTTGCTCTTGTATCGCCGGACAGGGCAAATCCTGTAGCCACGCAGCTGCAATCCTCTGGAAGGTGAGTACACACTTCATATATAGTAAACTCACTCAGGAAAAATGTTTAATTACTGGTGGTATTATTATATTTTCGTGTTACTTACAGGTTAGTTATGCATGCTAAGATTATAAATTTAATTATAATCTTATTATAATCTCATTTTGTTTTCTACATTTAGTGGGAATGCTCTATAAATGTGTGCGTTTTTGTACGATGTTTAGTGGAGTTATTAAACTCAAGTAGTTGTATTTTCCAAACGAATTGGCATTCCTTTTGACATGAATTTGTAAGCTTAACCAACTTTTTTTTTTTTATTAATAATCAGATTGGTAATTCTAACCAGTCCAGGTAAGTACAACTTTAATCTCGTGTTACAAGGCATCTTGGACAAAGGTAAGAAAAAAAGCTAATACAAGTCCCTTTATGTACATCTAGTTGTATCTGACACATTATACTTTAAAAGGAACACTCCACTATTTTTGAAAATAGGCTCATTTTCCAACTCCCCTAGAGTTAAACAGTTGAGTTTTACCGTTTTTGAATCCATTCAGCCGATCTCCGGGTCTGGCGGTAGCACTTTTAGCTATAGCTTAGCATAGATCATTGAATCTGATTAGACCGTTAGCATCTCGCTCAAAAATGACCAAAGAGTTTCTATATTTTCCCTATTTAAAACTTGACTCTTCTGTAGTTACGTCGTGTACTAAGACCGACGGAAAATGAAAAGTTGCGATTTTGTAGGCCGATATGGCTAGGAACTATACTCTCATTCCGGTGTAATAATCAAGGAACTTTGCTGCCGTACCATGGGTGCAGCAGGCGCAATGATATTATGCAGCGCCTGAAAATAGGCTTTTTGGAAGTTACCTAGCTGGAACTATTTTCAGGCTCTGCGTAATATAATTCAGCCTAGAAAATCGCAACTTTTAATTTTCCGTCGGTCTTAGTACACGACGTAACTACAGAAGAGTCAAGTTTTAAATAGGAAAAATATAGAAACTCCTTGGTCATTTTTCAGAGAGATGCTAACGGTCTAATCAGATTCAATGATCTATGCTAAGCTAAGCTAAAAGTTCTGCTCTGCCTTGTGATATCTGATTATAAGAATCGTCATCTGAAAGTATTCATATTACACTACAAATTAATGAAATTTACATCAAAATTACAATAAAAAGTTGTTTATTGATGTGATTTACAGTGTGATTTTTTTTGTATTTCTTTTTTTTATACATGTTTTTGTACTGATAAAATCCCAGGGAAATGACTAGCCCTCACAAAAACTACAAATGAGTCAGGAAAGT